TTCTCTAGTCTTTCTCTAGTCTCCCTCTTGCCTCTCGCTGGTCTCTCTCTGGTCTCTCTTTCTTGTCTCTCTTTAGTCTCTCTCTGGTCGCTCTCTGGTCTCGCTCTAGTCTCTTTCTTGTTTATTTCTGGTCTCTCTTTCTTGTCTCTCTCTGGTCTCTCTCTTGTCTCTTTCTGGTTTATCTCCGGTCATTCTCTGGTCTCTCTCTGGTCTTTCTCTAGTCTCTCTCTAGTCTCTCTCTGGTCTCTCTCTTCTCTCTCTGGTCTCTCTCTTCTTTCTCTAGTCTCTCTCTTCTCTCTCTGGTCTCTCTCTTGTCTCTTTCTAGTCTCTCTCTGGTCTTTCTCTAGTCTCTCTATTGTCTCTCTCTGGTCTCTCTCTGGTCTCTCTCTTGTCTCGTTCTAGTCTCTCTCTGGTCTTTCTCTAGTCTCTTTCTGGTTTATCTCTGGTCACACAAACAGGTACATACTGTATATAAAACGAATGCATTATTATCGTTTTAAGTCACTTCTCACAGATGAATCGCAGCCTGCAGATGTTTCCTAATCTCTGAACCATGAAAACAAACAGCTCCAGTTTTCTCAGGGCAATAAAATGTGTTTTTGAAAATAGCTGATTAATAAATACAAATGCAAACCCCAAATAATTAAAACTTCTCCCCATCTGGAAGTCGTGACCGCGCTCGTCACAAACACTGAAAACAGCTATGAAAAATAAGTCCAAAAATGCTAAAAAATAATAATAATTTGAGCACATTCTGACTGTGTTAAAACCCGATTTGCCAATGGGATTTGCTCTCTGGTCCCTCTCTCTGGTCCCTCTCTCTGGTCCCTCTCTCTGGTCCCTCTCTCTGGTCTCTCTCTCTGGTCTCTCTCTCTGGTCCCTCTTTCTGGTCTCTCTCTCTGGTCCCTCTTTCTGGTCTCTCTCTCTGGTCCCTCTCTATGGTCTCTCTCTCTGGTCCCTCTCTTTGGTCTCTCTCTCTGGTCCCTCTTTCTGGTCTCTCTCTCTGGTCCCTCTCTATGGTCTCTCTCTCTGGTCTCTCTCTTTGGCTTCTCTCTGGTCCCTCTCTCTGGTCTCTCTCTGGTCCCTCTCTCTGGTCCCTCTCTATGGTCTCTCTCTATGGTCTCTCTCTTTTGCCTCTCTCTGGTCCCTCTCTCTGGTCTCTCTCTGGTCTCTCTCTCTGGTCCCTCTCTCTGGTCTCTCTCTCTGGTCCCTCTCTCTGGTCTCTCTCTCTGGTCTCTCTCTTTGGCCTCTCTCTCTGGTCCCTCTCTCTGGTCTCTCTCTATGGTCTCTCTCTCTTTTGCCTCTCTCTGGTCTCTCTCTCTGGTCCCTCTCTCTGGTCCCTCTCTCTGGTCTCTCTCTTTGACCTCTCTCTATGGTCTCTCTCTTTTGCCTCTCTCTCTGGTCTCTCTTTCTGGTCCCTATCCCTGGTCCCTCTCCCTGGTCTCTCTCTCTGGTCTCTCTCTCTAGTACAAGGGTCTATCACACCAATATATCACCTGATTTTTCCCACGGTTAGCTTAAAGGAGTAGCTCTCTGCCTTTTCGTCTTGATAAAGTAGCTCTCTGGGTGACAAAGGTTGAAGACGCCTTCTCTAGTATCTTTCTAGTCTTTCTCACTGTTCTCTCTCTCTCTCTTTGGCCTCTCTTTGGTCTCTCTCTGGTCTCCCTCTGGTCTCTCTCTGGTCTCTCTCTGGTCTCTCTCGGATCTCCCTCTGGTCTCTCTCTGGTCTCTCTCTGGTCTCTCTCTGGTCTCTCTCTGGTCTCTCTTTGGCCTCTCTCTGGTCTCTCTCTGGTCTCTCTCTGGTCTCCCTCTGGTCTCTCTCTGGTCTCTCTCCGGGCTCTCTCTGGTCTCTCTCTGGTCTCCCTCTGGTCTCTCTCTGGTCTCTCTCTGGTCTCTCTCTGGTCTCTCTCCGGGCTCTCTCTGGTCTCCCTCTGGTCTCTCTCCGGGCTCTCTCTGGTCTCTCTCTGGTCTCCCTCTGGTCTCTCTCTGGTCTCTCTCTGGTCTCCCTCTGGTCTCTCTCTGGTCTCTCTCCGGGCTCTCTCTGGTCTCTCTCTGGTCTCCCTCTGGTCTCTCTCTGGTCTCTCTCTGGTCTCTCTCTGGTCTCTCTCCGGGCTCTCTCTGGTCTCCCTCTGGTCTGTGGTTTGGTGAACTCTAATCCACAGGATCTTTACTGTAGAGTTAAAAGAGAAGCACAAGACAATTTAAGTTTTGCTTTTGAACCGTCGGCCGGCTTCACGTCGAGCGCATCTGTCTCTGTTTAACCCACGACGTTTTGATCATCCACAGCAGCATCGAGAACAAGAGTAAAATCTCTAACTTTAGCATAATAAAGAAGCTAGCATAAAATCTCTAGCTTTAGCACAATAAAGAAGCTAGCATAAAATCTCTAGCTTTAGCACAATAAAGAAGCTAGTATAAAATCTCTAACTTTAGCATAATAAAGAAGCTAGCATAAAATCTCCAGCTTTAGTGTGGCATTACAGCCTGCAGGCGGGTTCTATGCCACTTTCTCTCTTCCTCATTTTCTATTGGTTGTTCGTCCCGTCAATCACCCAATAAAAGGCACGCGTCTTCTTTCACTCGTCCTCTGACCTCACTCTCCTGCTTCCGGTTGCGGTGTTTACGTCGCTGTTCCCGCTCTCAGGTAGTATCCGAAAGTTAAATGTGAGATTTCTTTTATGGAGCACTGAGTGTTAAATATTGTGGTTCAGTGCTGCTGCCATGGGTCCACTTGTGTTGCCGTGTAACTACTGCCCGCGGTGCTGGCTGTCAACCCAGCTCGTGTGTGAGCGGCTACCGCGCTAACCCAGGTTTGTAGCAGAACTTGCTAGGTTATAGAACAATTTTTGAGTCTTTATATTTATTTAGATACGTGTACATTTAGATTGATGCCATGGAGCCATGCGGTGCACTGTCGCCGCCTTGCCTTACCCAGAATCATGTTAGTGACCTGAACAAACTTGTTAATAAATGTACATATTTTTGTAACCTCTGAATCAGCCTCTGTGTTATCACAACGGACCTATGTCCTTTATTATAGATGTAATGTGGATCCAGTTAAATAATATCCACCACACCCTCCGGAATACCACATTAGCATAATAAAGAAGCAGGTAGAAAATACTGTATATTCTCACGCAAGAAATATCTTGTTGAATCTTTAAAACAGCTATGCTCACACTCAGAGAGCAGCCGTCCTCCTGTGGACTCACCACCTGCAGAGGGTCAGTGAGGGGCTGGTGCTATGAGACTTGGGTGGCATCTCTGACTGCCACCCCCCTGACCCAGAAATGGATTAAAGGGTAGAAAATGAATGGATGGATGGATCTTTAAAACAAACTTGTGTCAACTCCTAAAAAGATAAATATTGTTTTTGCCACTTGCCAAGACCGTAACATTTGCCTATTCAATAATTAACGTAGCATAATAAAATAGAAAATGTCTGAGGAGCCTGACCCCGAGAGAATATACTCGATTTCAGCTGCAGTCGTAAAATCTCGCCACACAAGAAGTCATAAAGGAACGGGGATAACAAACAAAATGTCGTGCAAGTCTTTCCCTGCGGTCGATGAAGGAAGCCACACAACACTGACGGCTCCACAAAGAACACAGAGCAGTCAAAAGGACAGCTCCGGCTCGTTCTGGTCACGGCAAAGATGTGAAAGGTTCAAGTCAATTTGATGCATTTGTATTTGTGTGTAGTGTGAAATCACAAAGAAATCAAAAAAGTTGTGGATTCGCCAACAACTGATCAGAGAATTAAATGATAATAATAATAATAAACATATAGCAGCTATTGGTCCAGGCTGTAGATCCAGGACTGAGGCTGTAGACCCAGGACTGAGGCTGTAGATCCAGGACTGAGACTGTAGATCCAGGACTGAGGCTGTAGATCCAGGACTGAAGCTGTAGATCCAGGACTGAGGCTGTAGATCCAGGACTGAGGCTGTAGATCCAGGACTGAGGCTGTAGATCCAGGACTGAGGCTGTAGATCCAGGACTGAAGCTGTAGATCCAGGACTGAGGCTGTAGACCCAGGACTGAGGCTGTAGATCCAGGACTGAGGCTGTAGACCCAGGACTGAGGCTGTAGACCCAGGACTGAGGCTGTAGATCCAGGACTGAGGCTGTAGACCCAGGACTGAGGCTGTAGATCCAGGACTGAGGCTGTAGATCCAGGACTGACGCTGTAGACCCAGGACTGAGGCTGTAGATCCAGGACTGAGGCTGTAGATCCAGGACTGAGGCTGTAGATCCAGGACTGAGGCTGTAGATCCAGGACTGAGGCTGTAGATCCAGGACTGAGGCTGTAGATCCAGGACTGAGGCTGTAGATCCAGGACTGAGGCTGTAGATCCAGGACTGAGACTGTAGATCCAGGACTGAGACTGTAGATCCAGGACTGAGGCTGTAGATCCAGGACTGAGGCTGTAGACCGAGGACTGAGGCTGTAGATCCAGGACTGAGACTGTAGATCCAGGACTGAGGCTGTAGATCCAGGACTGAGGCTGTAGACCGAGGACTGAGGCTGTAGATCCAGGACTGAGACTGGTGATCCAGGACTGAGACTGTAGATCCAGGACTGAGACTGTAGATCCAGGACTGAGGCTGTAGATCCAGGACTGAGGCTGTAGATCCAGGACTGAGGCTGTAGATCCAGGACTGAGACTGTAGAACCAGTGTGCCAGGAATTTCCCGGCACACTGGTTAGTTGTGAGTTGGTTGCTTGGATATGGTACCAGATACTAAAGAGACACAGAAAAAGTAGAGTAGAGTAGTTCCAAATAGTAAGTAAGTAAGTACAGTTTATGTGTTTAGCACCTTTCTTAAATCCACTTCACATCAGGTCTTCACATCAGGTCTTCACATCAGGTCTTCACATCAGGTCTTCACATCAGGTCTTCACATCAGGTCTTCACATCAGGTCTTCACATCAGGTCTTCACATCAGGTCTTCACATCAGGTCTTCACATCAGGGCTTCACACCAAAAGGGGCGTGTCCTCAGACCTGCAGCGACCCGAGTCCAGTCTGTGAGAGCGTAGCGTAAAGTGCTGTTGCTTCGTGAGCCTCAGTGAAGGTGACGACAGAGCAGCACAGCGCTCCTGCAGGTGGCCCCCCTCTCTCTGCGGCCACGGGGACACGCCTCGCCGCCTCCGACTCAACACCACCCCCACCCTCCAACCCCCCCCCCCCCCCCCCCCCCCCCCCCCCCGGTATGAAGATTAAGGTTACACACTCACACACACACACCCGAAAATGCATTAAAATTGCAATTTTTTTCTTGATAGTTCCAATAATTTTTATTTTTTATTTTTATGTATTTACCAAATGGTTGAGATGCAGTTTAATGTAAAAGTGCCTAAAACCATGTCAGATGCCCCAAAGAGGTAGGATTCAACCACAGCTGGGCCATGTATTTGCAGACCGACGACTTTCAACTGAGCTTCTACTTAACATTTTAGATCATATTCAATTATACACTTGATTTAAAATGAATTATAACATGCCACAGTTGCCCATTTCCATCCGATGCTTTAAGTCAATGTAATAATTCATAAATCATTTCAGGAGTAACAAACATTGGTGTCGTGGTCTGGATTTGGACATTTGAACTCTGAACATTGTAAAGTGCTTTGGGTGTCCCTGGTCACCTCACTTACTCACCTGGGTCCTGAGTTTGCCTGAGCTAAGGTAACCTGCTGTGGAGTCATCAGTCAGAGCAGCAGGAGTGAGCGATGGATGTAAAACAGAACAGTGCTTTCCGTCTGACTCAAACCCACAAAACTCATGAAGTCGTTTGGTGCTAATTAGCCGCGTGTTAGCGAACGCGTCCTGTAGCAGCGTAATCCAGGACGGGCTAACCACAAATACATTTAATCTCACATCATAATTCAATAGGACCATCGACCCAGGGACAGACAACATGCAGCTGATGGTTGTGTTGTTCTTGCTACTAGAAACTTAGTCAAACGCTGGTCCCTGGTTTATCGAGGGGTGATGTGTTCTAAAAATTACCCCCAATAAGTGAAATCTGTGATGTAGGAGCTCTGTGTTTAAAACTCTCACACGCACTTTATACAGTTTTCTAACCACCTGAACTCACGACTGCTGACGAGAGAGAGACCAGAGATATCAAACCTGTTGGTTGTAGGTCTGAGCGCTGCTGCAGCTGTCAAAAGCTGTGCATACACTGTAAAATACAGCTGCAGAGGAGACTTTGCTGAGGGGCAGGAGCAGGACTGAGGGCTACGGCACCAGAGAGAGAGACTAAAGAGACCAGAGAGAGACTAGAGAGAGAGAATAAAGAGACCAGAGAGAGACTAGAGAGAGAGAATAAAGAGACAGATAAGAGAGAGACCAGAGAGAGACCAGTATGTAATTAATCTTTAAGTATATAGTGCCTTTCACAGACCAGAGTTACAAAGCGCTTTACAATTGTGGGCATTTGTCTCCCACTCCACACAGAGATGGGAGCGGGTTTATGATTGTCCCACAAAACTTGGGCCATTTTGTGAGACAATCATAAACGGTCCCCACAAAACAAGTTAATGGCTGAATTCTAAAGGTTCTGAGCTTTGAAACGAGGTACAACATGAGTATAGTGGTGGAGCTGAAGTTTTCTGAATGACATTATAAAAGTGCCTCACAGGCGAGTTTGGTTTAGCGAGTCAGACGGCCCCGGAAATGACATATTGGGCCGCATTTGGCTCGTGGGCCTCAGCTTTGGACATGCTGTAATCAGACAAAAGCCCAGTAAAGCCCAGTATGACCTGCCGTCCTCCACATTGGACTCATATAAAAACACAACCGACAATAACTTTGACCTCTTTTGTTTCTTTCCGACTGAGACTTTTGATTCCCTTCAAACAGAAACAGCAGGGAGCACGATGTTCCCGCCTGCCACTGACGGCCGTGATGTGTTGTGATGCGGCGGGCCCCCAGGCCGGCCTCGTCACCGCGGCCTGACATCTGACTGACAAGTGTTGAATGCAGAAGACTTTCGGGAGCCTGGAAGAGGGTGGAACAGGTGCTTTCCAAAAAAACAGAGAGAGACATGGCTGAAGCTTTGGGCGACTGATATTAAAAACGTTTGCAGAATGATTGGATAGAAAACAAAAAGTGGAGATGGAAAAAAGGGGAAAAGAATCCAAAAGGGAACGGAGCCAAAACAAACTGACAAACAGTTTAAGTGGTGAGATGAAAGATAATGGGTTTGAAAAAGGGGAATTATCGTCCTCGGGCTGAAAATGGAATCGTCCTGGATTGTAAATCACGGTTTAGTTTTACATGTTTGATATTGAAAAAGAAGTTTAAGAAATGATCTTGTGCAATTCTCTAAGTCACCGATCAGCACAGGCCATTGATTTGATCGGGCAGACATCTTGGAGACCGCAGGCATGGACTTATCAACCTAACCTGGATAGGTGGTCACGGAGAAACAAGGAAGGACCCACAAGCAGAACTGAAAAAAATATATATTTCAATAAATGGCACAAGAAAATAAATCAAAAAGTAAAACCCAGGGACAAGACATGGCTAAAAAACAACAACAATAGATTGACAACAAGAAGAAAGGGGAACAGGGTCTAAATACACACAGGGAGACACAGAAGAGACAGGAAGTAAAACTCACAACAAGAGCACAAATATATATCAAAATAAAACCAGATACATTAACAGAGTCCAGGGTGTTGCTGCCTGTGGACAAGAGGCCACTGCAGGTACTGCAGCTTGAATCCATGCTGTATAGATTTCCCTAAAGACCTCATTCATTCATTTTCTACCCCTCTATTAGTCCATTTCTAGGTCGGGGGGTGACAATGAGAGACCAGTCCCTCTGATCCTCTGCAGGGGGTGAGTCCACAGGAAGATGGCTGCTACATCAGTGGTGCCACAGCCTTGGTGTTTCAGCGGGTGTTTCAGTGGGAGCTTCCGTGTCTTGCCCAAGGACACAACGACAGCAGATATTAGTAGGAGCAGTAGGAGTAGGTCCGGTGATGGGCTCGAACCCACAACCTTCCAACCCAATGCTCTACCAACTGAGCTACTGTCGCCCCATAGACCTCAGGGTGAACTAAAACATCTTGTCCTCGTTTTTGAAATCCATCGGTTCTCTATAAATCCACACTTTTGAATGGGTAGACATCTTGGAGAGACCAGGGGCAGACATCTTGGAGAGACCTGGGGCAGACATCTTGGGGAGACCAGGGGCAGACATCTTGGAGAGACCAGGGGTCAGACATCTTGGAGAGACCAGGGGCAGACATCTTGGAGAGACCAGGGGTCAGACATCTTGGAGAGACCTGGGGCAGACATCTTGGAGAGACCAGGGGTCAGACATCTTGGAAAGACCAGGGTCAGACATCTTGGAAAAACTAGGGTCAGACATCTTGGAGAGCCTCAGGACAGACATCTTGGTGAGACAAGGAGCAGACATCTTGGAGAGACCAGGGGTCAGACATCTTGGAGAGACCAGGGGACAGACATCTTGGGGAGACTAGGGTCAGACATCTTGGAGATACCAGGAGCAGACATCTTGGAGAGACCAGGGGTAGACATCTTGGAGACTTTCAAACTGCTGGGCATAAAATACAAAGCAACGAGATATCTGTATTGCTCCGTACTAAAACATCTCTCAATAATCTCACATTTTAAAAAACACTAGTTGTCCGCTGTGAGTCCTGGGGTTGTTTGAAGTTCAAGTTTGTTACAACAGAGCTTTGGTTATTGCATCTCTTCAGACTGTTTTCTTTATTTTGTTTTAACCCCATATGAAACACCCCATAAAATGCCTAAACAAAATCCTACCATTACAATTAATGTGTAAACGGTTGACGTTACTGCTTCGCATTCCTTTGAAGTCCGTAAATAAACCACAAATCACGCTCGGTTTGTCGTGGTGCCGTTAACAAGAGTGAGCTGTGAGGACAAAGTCGCACAGACGGATGGAATGGAACAGAGACGAACAGAAATCTACAGCAAAAGACGCAATCTGCGCTTTATGACAAACACATACAAGTCAGTGGGAACCATGTGTGCAGGGGATCTATCCTTTTGATCCATCCCAGTAACTGCTGACCCTCATACCACATGGTTGACGTCAGGAAATGCTGGGTTTTAGCTTTTTATCCACAGAAAAGGTCCATGTTTGGGATGTTTCACAAATGTTGGTGTGTGCAGAGATGTTAAAGATGCAGTCAGTGATTTTTTTCAGACGCATTTTTTTGAATATTGTGGGAAACGTCCCTAAACCCTTAAAGTAGTCGTTATCATGTGTTTTCAAATAGTAATGGAATTGACCAGATGTGTGTAGTCTCAAAAATTAATAACAAATATTTTGGAGCGGGCCGATAAAAATACATCAATGGGTTTTGTTCATCCCCAACGAACCAATGGGATGAGTTTACCCCCTACAGCGCCTTTCACGGACCAGAGTCACAAAGCGGTTTAAAATTGTGGGCATTTGTCTCTCAGTACAGGAGGCACATGCCAGACCTATTGTACATGTTTTTAGTGGTAGTGGAAACCGGGGCAGCCGGAGGAAACCTACGCAGACATGGGGAGAACATGCAAAATCCACTCAGAAGTTGTCTCCCATGTTTTTGTTAGTTCAGATTAGTCAAGTGACAAGTGTACTCAGTTACTTATCAAGCTGGACACCGAGGAGAAATGGACAAGAGACAGGACAGAAAAAACACGACACAGATATCGGACTCGATGATGGCTTCTCGGTGAGTGCAAACACCTGACCATTATCGGACTAAACTTAGAGCCGGATCCATCAGAGTCAGGATCATGAGCCTCAGCTTTTCATGAGGCCACACAGCACTGCAGAACGGGAGCATCCAAATCCACAAACACAGGACCTAATATTTTATAATTTTTTGCAGTGTATACCAACAACATGTTGCTCAGAACATAAATGCTGACAATCCAAAATTATGTTAAGATCAAATCCAAGACGACCCGTTCTACAGTTTCTCATCTACCAACAATGGGAACATAGAATGTGAATTTGTCATTGGCTTACGTTAAGGTCAGAGTCAAAGATTAAAACTGATTTTCCAAGAATATTGAGTTACTTTTTTATCTTGCAGTGCTTGGATTTAACTGAGTCACTCTGAGGCCGTGGAACAAACAGGTCCGGGTGAAGCGGCAGCAGGATCATCGCCGCGGTTTGTACATAACAGCATGACAAACACACACACGCACACACACATATACACACACACACACAGAGTTTTCATTATAAACATGTAAACAATCAACAACTTTGAAAAATTGCAAAGAGAATCAAACCGTTCAAACACAAGAAATGTAATGATAGCCATTGGTTCATATGGAGCAGGACGACCACTGTCCATAAATATTTACCATCAATCAATGTATTTATTTATTTATTTATTTATTTATTTCAGACATTTTTGACATTTCAGGTACATGGAACATAAAGGTCAAAATGAGGTCTGAAAGAGGAATAGGCAGGAACTAAAGCGTATACCACTGTTCTTAGACCATTTGGTAAGGTACCACTAAAAAAAAATAAAAAAAACATTAAACAGTGGTGAAAATGTGAGAAACCCCGAGGTGTGGGTATGTTCCCTCGCCAGGCTGTAGACCCAGGACTGAGGCTGTAGACCCAGGACTGAGTCTGTAGACCCAGGACTGAGGCTGTAGATCCAGGACTGAGGCTGTAGACCCAGGACTGAGGCTGTAGACCCAGGACTGAGGCTGTAGACCCAGGACTGAGGCTGTAGACCCAGGACTGAGGCTGTAGATCCAGGACTGAGGCTGTAGACCCAGGACTGAGGCTGTAGATCCAGGACTGAGGCTGTAGACCCAGGACTGAGGCTGTAGACCCAGGACTGAGGCTGTAGACCCAGGACTGAGGCTGTAGACCCAGGACTGAGGCTGTAGATCCAGGACTGAGGCTGTAGATCCAGGACTGAGGCTGTAGATCCAGGACTGAGGCTGCTCCCTGTGTCTTCCCATTAGAAAAGTCCCTTCTCACCGTGGTCCTCAGCCCTAAGCCTATACATTAGCATCTTTTCGCGTCAGAGAGGAAATTGCAAGATTATGCCTTAGGTCTGGCCAGTAGTAATTACTGAAGTGGTGTATAATCTGTGGTGCAGCTCTGAGGTGCACGTCTCCCTGAGATCGTGCGCAGACTGAACGGCCATTGTTGCTGGTGTTTCCTCATTTGTAGTGGCTGTTTGTGGTCCGTATCGTAAAAGTCACACCTTTTCCAATTAAATCACAGGGCCACTGCCGTCCCAACCCTCGGGAACTCACTCCCACTGCCCATTAGAAACTCTGACTCACTACCAAACTTTAAATCAGTCTCAAAACCCATCTTTTCAAACAAGCTTCTCCGTAAATATGTTTTTTTATTTTGATTTATTCCCCATGTGAAGCATCTTTGAGTGTTTCCAAAAAGTGCTAATACAAGTCTGATGTATTATTATTATTATGGATTAAGGGGAAGAAAATGGAAGGATGGATGACAAAGTCTTAGCATCATTTTTTTCATTTTCATTCATTCATTTTCTACCCATTTATTAGTCCATTTCTGGGTCTGGGGTGATACTGAGAGCTGCCACCCAATGCTCATAGCTCCATCTGATCCTCTGCAGGGGGTGGGTCCACAGGAAGATGGCTGCTACATTAGTGATGCCACAACCTTAGTGTTTCAGCGCGAGCTTCAGGCAATGTGGGGTTAAGTGTCTTGCCCATGGACACAACGACAGCAGACATTAGTGGGAGCAGTTGGAGTAGGTCCCGAGGTGGCCAATGCTCTACCAACTGAGCCACTGTGGCCCCTGGTTTGTTGGGACCAAGGCTGGGGATTGTGTCTTTAATTCAGACAGAAGACCTGTTTTATTGTAGACGGGAGAGACAGGCAGAAGTGATATCATACAGCGCGGAGAAACGGGGACGTCCAATCAGCGTTCGCCGCGGTGCCAGTAGCTTCAACCTTGATATTACCAAAACATGCAGTGGAAAAGTACTGCCTCGTGCATATTGTTGAATGATGAGTGAAAACTTTGACCACAGTTGCTTCAAAGTGTCATGAAATATCCAAATGTATTATTATTAGTAGTGTGATGAAGTCAACTTAAACCTACGGCTGTGTCAGTGTCACTCTCAACGACTGAGTTTTTTAACTTGATTGGAGTTAATTATCTGTGTTTTGACATTTTGTACCAGGTGTAAAAAAAATTTAAATAATCGGGTCTTATCAAGCTCCGGCGATCCAAGATGGGGACACTAAAATTTGCACAAATCCGACCTTTATGAAAGCTGTAGGTTCTCTGTCAGGTTCTCTGTCAGCTGAGGTCGAGCTGTTTTAGTTTACATTGAGTTCTATGGACATTTTTCTGGGTGGCCCACGTGAATTTAGTCTGCAGTGTCACGGGCGCCCCCTGTGTCCATGGGTGGGACAGTTGTAAGATAGTAATCCAGATAATATTATAGAACCATGGTCTTTTGGAAGAGCCGGGTTTCCAAGATGGCTGCTCGTTCAAATCAACGGCCTGTGCTCATTGGGTCAGGCTCGCATGTGGACGTCCCAAATATTAGCAAAATTGTGCCAGTTCTGGTTCTCCTGGTCCTGTAAAGCAGATGTGCAGTGGTTCGACTTCAACAGGACCAGAAAAACATGAAAGCTTTCTGACCAATCAGAGTGGAGCTAGATCGGGACGAAAAGAGTGGATTTAGAGAAAGCTAATGGATTTTAAAAGACAAAAAGTTGAGGATGACAAGGGACACTAAAATCCTCACAAAATCCGATCCTTGTGAAAGCTGTAGGTTCTCTGTCAGCTGAGGACGAGCCGTTTTTTGTTAACATTGAGGTCTATGGGGAAATCTCCATTACAGCCCATATGAATTTAGGCTGCAGTACCGTGGGGGTCATTGTCCATGTAGCGAGATAGAGAGAGAGAGAGAGAGAGAGAGAGAGAGAGATTCAGGTTCAGCAGCAGAAACACGCCATTAAAATAAATAAATACATAATTCAAAAAGTTTCTAACAATAGTCATAAAGTGCAACAGCAGCAGAGGTGGTGTAGCCACTGGTGATAAGCTGCTTCCCCTGGTCGATGTCTGCAGAGGCTTCGGCTTGGTTCGGGTCCTTTTCTCTGCTTTGGTTCAGAGTGAAATTCCGAATGCTGTATTAGCATTTAAAAAAAAAAAAACAAGGAAATCTTCTGCAGTGGACTTAGGCTTGATCTTCTTGGTTGGGCCCATCCTCTCTGGTCTGGATCTGTGTAAAACCATGAAAACTTTTACCGTAGTAGCATTTACAGCTACTGTAGAAGGAGAAAAAGAAAGAAGAAGAAAAACAATTGTAAAACACAATTCAACGACTGTTTCAGAGCAACTCAGGACTCGCTGCTGTTTCCAGGTCCAGTTTATAGTTATAAAGTTATTGTTTCCTGTCCTTTCAAAAGTAAATCGGGACAGGGTTAAGCCCCAACACCCCCTGCTTGACATCATTCATGCATGAGCCGTACAGACCCAACACTGCCCCCTAGTGACAGAGAGGACCACACTCCCGCAGACTTCTCCCCGTGTCGGTTCTTCAGCTCTCTCCAGAACGTTGTGTTTGTGTTTCCCACGCCGCTCTGTCAAAACAAACAAGACTCAGGCTCCGAACCAAAACAACAATTACCTCAGAGCTGAATGAGGACGACACGGTGTAAGGTGGAATTTTCCCTCAAACCGCACGGAGACAAACACGCCGACCATCAACAACAGATTATGCACTAAATCAGGGGTTAAGTCGTTTTTATCTGGATTTGGAAACAATTTGACATCCATGAAACAATGGAACAGCACAGTTATAGAACATGATGTCTTCTATTGAGACTGTCAAAATGTGCTCCATTCAATGAAGCCAAATTTGGGCAATTTCTAACTTTTGTGCGATTTTCGTTGTGTAATAATAGTCCATAGGCTTCAAATAGCGCTTTTAAATTTCTCCATTGTGAGATCAGTAAAGTTTATCTAATCTTATCTTTTTCTGGACACTCAAAGATGCTTCACATGTCATTCTCCAAACACGGTGGTGATAAACTATTTCTGTAGCCACAGCTGCCCTGGGGCACACTGACAGAGGCGAGGCAACCAGTCTGTGCCATCGGCCCCTCCCACCACCACCAACCATTCACACACACACCAGACTCATTCTAATGTGGGGGAAGTGTCTTGCCTAAGAGCACAGCGACAGTTTGGCACTTTACAGCAGCCTCCTGTTGGCACTCAGAGGAGCACAGGGACTGGCCTCCTGCTGGGACTCTGAGGAGCACAGGGACTGGCCTCCTGCTGGGACTCTGAGGAGCACAGGGACTGGCCTCCTGCTGGGACTCTGAGGAGCACAGGGACTGGCCTCCTGCTGGGACTCTGAGGAGCACAGGGACTGGCTTCCTGCTGGGACTCTGAGGAGCACAGGGACTGGCCTCCTGCTGGGACTGAGGAGCACAGGGACTGGCCTCCTGCTGGGACTCTGAGGAGCACAGGGACTGGCCTCCTGCTGGGACTCTGAGGAGCACAGGGACTGGCCTCCTGCTGGGACTCTGAGGAGCACAGGGACTGGCCTCCTGCTGGGACTGAGGAGCACAGGGACTGGCCTCCTGCTGGGACTCTGAGGAGCAGAGGGACTGGCCTCCTGCTGGGACTCTGAGGAGCACAGGGACTGGCCTCCTGCTGGGACTGAGGAGCACAGGGACTGGCCTCCTGCTGGGACTCTGAGGAGCACAGGGACTGGACTCCTGCTGGGACTCTGTGGAGCACAGGGACTGGCCTACTGCTGGTCCCAGAGTCAGGACTAAACATGAGGAGTCAGTATTTCAGATTCAGCTCAAATCTGAAACAGTCGTCATTGAGATGGTGAGACAGACTTCTGCTCTGAGTTTTAATCCAGTTATGGTTAAAATAAGTCAGTTTTCTCTGAACACAACTGACTCTTTGCTTTGTGTTCATTTATTATTTGAATGTCCTGTGATGGAAATGTTTATGTCTGAGAAGGCTGTGAAGCACTTTGTTTTACCGTTGATATTGATTTTCATACTTGCTTTTTACAGCCAAAAAATATATCTAAAATTCTGGTATCACTGAAAATCAGAGTCTGTGATTAAAAACACAGATAACGGCGTCTCCTGCAGAGTCTCCCGTTGACGAGGTTTTATGAATGAACCTTCTGCTGATTCAGGAGCCGCAGGTGAAGAGAGCACAGGGACCATCACAGACTCTGGGAGCCGGTCCTGGAGCGTGTTGTGCTGCAGTTAGAGCAAAGACCAAAGAGCTGCTGTTTGTTTATGACAGAAATAGCTGCATGACACAGAGCAGTCTAAAGTCACATCTGCACATGAAGCTGGTGTCTGGCACTTTGAAAAGAAGAACGCGGCTCATGTCTGGGTGGGCAGATGGCATTCACATAATGCCACTATTTTCGCATCGCGGCGTCAAGCTGGAATCAGCTGGCTTTGCCTGAGAGGAAACACAGAGGAGCAAAGGGAGCAGAGAGCCGGTGCCAATGGCCTGGTCTAACCTGGCCTTTACCAAACTGTCAGCCCAGACCCAGAGTCAGACCTCGGGGAAGTGGAGGAGACTGCTGTGGGCTCGGGGTGGACCTGACTCCTGTTACATCACTTGCAGCCACAGACAGTGTGGTAGACTTATCTGTCTGTGGTCTGGGGTGGCACTGGTCTGGACCAGGAGTGACTCACTCTTTCTGTTTACCTCAGAGTGAACCCTGGTGTCCAGCAGCAGCGCCGCAGCAGGGTGGCTTCCACCACCAGTGAGGCTGGAATGCCCTGTGCCCACACCTTTCAAACCATGACACCTTTTCCTGTGGAAGGAGCAGATCCTCTGAGATCCAGTAAATATAGCTCTCTCTGCTGCGGTGGACTCAGGCGCTGAGGAAACCAGTGTTTTAGGTTCAATAACTGTGGAGTCCGATTTCTAGGTTTGTCACACAGGACATTAAACCGACCCTGTTCAGACAAGTACAATAAAGAACCGGGAAGAGTTTATTACACTTTTCAATGACAGCTTAACAGACGTGTGAGCTGACCTGACGTGGGAAACCCAATCCACCTGGATCTGCCCAGACTGCTCCAAACACACAGCTCTGGGTTTCCTCTTCAGCAGGTTTAGTGAGGATCCAGACTAACACACCTCCATCTGATACTACTGTGGTTTTAACACACAACTTCAGCTCGGACACAAGAGGACACAAGAGAACAGAAGAGAAGAGAACAGAAGAGAACAGCATTCACCGCTGTGTTCGGCAGAGACAGCAGTGGCTCAGATAGAGGCTCGTCTCCGGTGAAAGAGAATCCCCCCCTCGCCCCCCTCGCCCCCCTCGCCCCCCTCCCCCCCATGTAAACACTGTCTGAACTATCAGAGTGTGCGGAGATGGAGTGTTTACGGCCCTCATTTACTGTGTCATTTGTTTTCATCCTGGGATTTAGAAATGTATTTCTATTGAGGATAAATAAAGGTCGGGTCAGGGATGTTGCGGTCCTTTCACTCCTGTTGCCATGGAAACAAAAACCCTGTCACTTTGGCTAAAAACAAAGTCTTATTGGGTTTTTGGCTCTTGTGCTGTGACACGGTAGATGTCGAACCAGAGGCGACTCATGACAGATGTCTGAATCTAAGCAGGGCAGGGCCTGGTTAGTAATGTGATGGGAGACCTCTGTTTTGTGCTTGTGAAGCCTCGGCGGGCCTTCTGCTCAGAGCCTCATTCTGCTCAATTCCCGGATCTACAGCAGACTTCACACTGAGCTCATCCACTCTGGAGGAAACTACTTGTGCACAATCATTACCCAAAGCTCATGATCACAGGTGAGGGTGGGAACGTAGACAGGGAGCTGAAGGCTTTGCTTTGACGGCAGCGATCCATCTGACAATCTCACGCTGCACCTTTCATCACGCATGAAGAAAAGACAGAGATTCTCCACCTTTTCTCAGGTTTCTGCTTCTTGTGGCTCAGAGAATAGACTTGAACACACAAGGACTGGCCTCCTGCTGGTGCCTAGAGTCAGTACTTTGCGATCCTGAACTGAGGCTGTAGATCCAGGACTGAGACTGTAGATCCAGGACTGAGACTGTAGATCCAGGACTGAGACTGTAGATCCAGGACTGAGACTGTAGATCCGGGAATGAGGCTGTAGATCCGGGAATGAGGCTGAAGATCCAGGACTGAGGCTGTAGATCCAGGACTGAGGCTGTAGATCCAGGACTGAGACTCTAGATCCAGGACTGAGGCTGTAGATCCAGGACTGAGACTGTAGATCTAGGACTGAGGCTGCACATCCAGATCTGAGGCTGTAGACCTAGGACTGAGGCTGTAGATCCAGGACTGAGACTGTAGATCCAGGACTGAGGCTGTAGATCCAGGACTGAGGCTGTAGATCCAGGACTGAGGCTGTAGATCCAGGACTGAGGCTGTAGATCCAGGACTGAGGCTGTAGATCCAGGACTGAAGTGGAGTACAAAAACCACCCTTCTCCTTCTGCATCTATTGGTCGCAGTCTCCAGTAACTTGCAATAGTCTTTACTTACCTCGCTTTTAATAATATCACAATTTTCCATAAAATATCATGTCCTCAAGCCGCTACACTTCTTCCACTCCAATCTCTACAATCTCGCATTCTGAAGAACCTCGACAGGATACGATATGGCATCCGTTAACTCCGACAAATGACTTCACCACAATCGAACGGCGGTGCAGGCGGAGAGGGGCCCGCCGTTTCACACTCAAACACAAACAAATACTGGACGAGAAAGAGCGAGGTTCAGAGCGAGGTTCAGAGATAGCCGAGCCCAAACACGGGACCACCACAGAGCCAGGCCAACCCCCCCGGACCACAGCCGCAGTCATCAGACACCTATGGCTCCGATACCCGACCACAGCAGCTGGAGTCGGCTGTTGAAATAACTCGCCACAGACAAAATGCAGCTCGGAACAAGTGCCTTCTCGGGCGTGGGGCTCGTGTGTAAAACTAAACTAATATCGTTTTGTACAGAAATCCTCTTTGGTTATTGGAGGAGGTTTGCCATTTTCTCGACCGTTTCTGCGACTGCTCAGGGATAACTTACAAAATGGTTGGAAGGATAGGAATTTCAGATGTTGTTGTTTGACGGTCGCATAAAACAAGCCAAAAATGAATGTATATTGTAAAGGTTCATGTCATGGTGTGGATTTTATTTTGGACTTTAGCTTTATTTTGATATCTGTTCTCTGTGCTTTGGTTGTAGTTTGACTTTGACGTCCTGTTTCCCCTGTCTTGATTGTCTACCCCGCCCTAATGTGTTTCACCTGTGTCTCTGTCTATAATTACCCTGTGCTCCTCTCCCCTTGTTGCTGCTTCATTGTCTTGTCAACATTTGTTCTGTCCTGTTCCTGGTTATGTGTTCCTGGTCATGTGTTCCCTGTGCTTTGGGATTTTGAGTTAGTTTTCTCCTGCACTTTTATTTTTTCATCATTAAATTCCTTTTATTTTGGCATTCCTGCATTTTGGGTCCTCATTCAGTTCACCACGTGACAGAATGAAGCAGCCACTAATGGACTCAGCGGATTGCCTTTTTTCCCACAAGTTTTTTTTTTGTGTGCCGATTGCCTACCTCGCTGCCTACCTCTTGCACCTGTTACTTGGAACCACCGCCAGGCAAGAAACTCCGCCTGGGGTGGTTATTCGTCTTGCACCACCGCCGGGCATTGATGTCCGTCCGGGGTGGTCCTCTGTTCCCTCCGCCCGTCCTGCTGAGAGGTATCCAGTGGAGTTCTGCACCGGTTTTCACACCCTCTGTCTGCTGTTCTACGGTGACCTGTCCTTCCCTTGTCTCTTGCCGCCGCCAGACATTACCTTCGTCTGGGGTGGTTCTGCCCCCAGCCTGAGTCACCGCCGGGCATATGTCTTCGTCCGGGGTGAGCCAGCTCCTTACTCTCCAGACCCTCGGGAAGGTTGCCACTGGACTTCAGCTCCTGTCCCTGATCTGTTCCGTACTACTGACCTGTCTCTGGCCCATCCTCCAGACCCCCGCCACCCTCCCTGGCTCGTGTTTTTTGTTTTTAGGGACATCTGGGAGCTGTCCCTTGGAGGGGGGGTACTGTCATGGTGTGGATTTTATTTTGGACTTTAGCTTTATTTTGATATCTGTTCTCTGTGCTTTGGTTGTAGTTTGACTTTGACGTCCTGTTTCCCCTGTCTTGATTGTCTACCCCGCCCTAATGTGTTTCACCTGTGTCTCTGTCTATAATTACCCTGTGCTCCTCTCCCCTTGTTGCTGCTTCATTGTCTTGTCAACATTTGTTCTGTCCTGTTCCTGGTTATGTGTTCCTGGTCATGTGTTCCCTGTGCTTTGGGATTTTGAGTTAGTTTTCTCCTGCACTTTTATTTTTTCATCATTAAATTCCTTTTATTTTGGCATTCCCGCATTTTGGGTCCTCATTCAGTTCACCACGTGACAGTTCATGAGGAAAAGAATGTGTTAATGTGTTCGATATTGGTTTATTTAGCTTTTTCAGTGGTTAAAGAATCTGCAATAAGTGAAGTCTGTGAAGTAGCAGCTGTGTGTTTTAAGGCGGTAAAACGCTCACACAAACTTTATACACTTTTCTAACCGCCTGAAGTCACGACTGCTGAAGAGAGAGACCAGAGATGTGAAAAAGCTGTTGGTTGTAGGTCTGAGCGCTGCTGCAGCTGTCAAAAGCCGTGCATACGATGTCAAATACAGCGTGAGAGGTGACTGAGGGGCTGGACTGAAGGCAATGGGAAGACCAGGAAGAGACCTGTGAGAGAGACCAGAGAGAGACCTGTGAGAGAGCAGAGAGAGACCACAGAGAGACCAGAGAGAGACCAGAGAGAGACCAGAGAGAGACCAGAGAGAGACCTGAGAGAGACCAGAGAGAGACCAGAGTGAGACATGAGAGATCAGAGAGAGACCAGAGAAAAACCAGAGAGAAACCAGAGTGAGACCAGAGAGAGACCAGAAAGAGACCAGAGAGAGACCCGAGAGAGATCAGAGAGACCAGAGAGATCAGAGAGACCAGAGAGGTCAGAGAGAGAACCGAGAGAGATCAGAGAGAGAACCGAGAGAGACCAGAGAGAGACCAGAGTGAGACCAGAGTGAGACAAGAGAGAGACCTGAGAGAGACCAGAGAGAGACCAGAGTGAGACCAGAGTGAGACCAGAGTGAGACAAGAGAGAGACCAGAGAGAGCTTTTCTTCTGACATTAAATAAAGGTACCAATCATAATAAACTAGCGGTTATTAGAGGATGTTGGAATAGAAATACACACAGAGAATGAGAGGGCACTGGGGCGTAACGGTCCTGGGTTTCTAATCCAGGTCGGAACAGGGTCTTGTTGCATGTTCTCCCTGTGCCTGACTAGCTTTCCTCCGGGTGCTCGGGGTTCCCCTTCCACTAAAAACACACACAGACACAAAAATCTGTGAAAAAGCGAGAGGCCGCTGAACCGTGCTGTAGCGAGGCACCACTGCAGTCTGTACGAGTCACAAACACTACTTTTCATTTGTGGTCGTTAGCACTTGATAAAGCCGTAAGCTAACACTGCCAACCACCCAACCCCAGTCAGTGACTCAATAAAACATCTGCACATAATAAAAGTCAAGCACATTACATACATTCTCAAAAATTGCCATTAAAATCGTTTTGTTATAGAGCCACATTTTTCTGGGCTGAGTGCTTTCCGCGTCCCTCACTGAAATAGCCGGTGGCACTCAGCGACCGGAGCCTTCTTACGCCCATGCTTCCTGTTTACTAAATCATTTTGTCGTGTGGTGTGTCCTTCCTGTTGTATCTTTAGACGCTTGTAGACGCGGTAGGGTGAAGACACGCCCATATTAAAACCCGCAGAGAAACCACCGGCTTGGAAACGCATTAATCCTATATGAATATTTGAGCTGGATCGACTCGTTTTGGCTGGAATCCTGCGAGCGAGAACCACAAGATTAGGTCTCGTCCGCGGTCCATGTGTCGTGCCTCTGATAGTAAAGAATGTGACATATTGAGAGCGAGCAGACTCCGGAGTTTGGGGAATTCCCACATTTCGTGTTTTCCACTCGTTTGTGAGGAGACCACATGTTATTGTTTTCTTGTCAGTGTGAATTACTTTCGTGTGAAAATTATTTTTTGTAGTGTTGTATAATGTATTTGTGTTATCGTTTGTTTCGGGGGCCGTGCTGAGAGCAGTGGTTCCGCCGTCGGTTTTGATTTGGAAGTTTTACAGGCAATTTTGTGGTGGATTATTTTTGTTTAGTCATGCAATAACAAGAGCATTAGAGTTTTGATTGCATTTTCATAGGATTGAAATGAAATGTAATGTTTTTGTGATTGTGGTAATGTTAGCTTACACTGGTCTCTCGCTGATACACACTTCACATTTCGTGGCTTCAAGGTTTTTCTGTTTTGCAGATTCTCATTCTCTGCGTGTAAACTCCAACAACATCATGTTGTCGCGAGTATATGACGGTCACCTTTATTTCGAGTCGGTAGAAAACGTGTGATGAGGCTCAGAAAAGGTTCTTTTGATAAGACAGAAAAGGTAAACTTCCGCCTTCGTCAAACTTGTGATTAGTTGAGACGACTCTCTCTCCTTCTCTGGTTTCTCTCTCCGGTCTTTCTCTGTGATATCTGTCTATTCTCTCTCTCATCTTTTTCTTCGGTATCTCTTGATCTCTCTGGTCTCTCTGGTCTCTATCTGGTCTCTCTCTCTGGACTCTCTCTATGGACTTTCTCTGGACTCTCTCTATGGACTCTCTCTAGTCTCTCTCTGGTCTCTATCTGGTCTCTCTCTCTCTCTGGAATCTCTCTCTGGACTTTCTCTGGACTCTCTCTGGACTCTCTCTAGTCTCTCCCTCTCTCTGGACTTTCTCTGGACTCTCTCTAGTCTATCTCTTTGGTCTTTCTCTCTGCTCTCTCTAGTCTTTCTCTGGACTCTCACTAGTCTCTCTTTGGTCTCTCTCTCTGGACTCTCACTAGTCTCTCTATGGATTTTCTCTGGATTATCTCTAGTCTCTCTCTGGTCTGTCCCTGGTCTCTCTGGTCTTTCTCTGGACTCTCCCTAGTCTCTCTATGGTCTCTCTCTCTGGACTCTCCCTAGTCTCTCTATGGTCTCTCTCTCTCTGGACTCTCCCTAGTCTCTCTATGGTCTCTCTCTCTGGACTCTCCCTAGTCTCTCTATGGTCTCTCTCTCTGGACTCTCACTAGTCTCTCTATGGTCTCTCTCTCTGGACTCTCCCTAGTCTCTCTCTCTGGACTCTCCCTAGTCTCTCTATGGTCTCTCTCTCTGGACTCTCCCTAGTCTCTCTATGGTCTCTCTCTCTGGACTCTCCCTAGTCTCTATATGGTCTCTCTCGCTGGACTCTCACTAGTCTCTCTATGGTCTCTCTCTCTGGACTCTCCCTAGTCTTTCTATGGTCTCTCTCTCTGGACTCTCCCTAGTCTCTCTATGGTCTCTCTCTCTGGACTCTCCCTAGTCTCTCTATGGTCTCTCTCTCTGGACTCTCCCTAGTCTCTCTATGGTCTCTCTCTCTGGACTCTCCCTAGTCTCTCTATGGTCTCTCTCACTGGACTCTCACTAGTCTCTCCCTGATCTGATCTCTAGTCTCTCTCTGGCCTCTGCACCGTACAGTAGGTCAGATGACAACCATGGCCCTCAGTCCTGCTCCTGCCCCTCAGTCTCCTCTGCTGCTGTATTTTAACAGCGTACGCACGGCTTTTGACAGCTGCAGCAGCGCTCAGACCTACCACCAACAGGTTTGATACCTCTGGTCTCTCTCACTTCATCAGTCATGTGTGAGAGTTTTACAGCCTCAAAACACACAGCTCCTACTTCAAGAATTTAACTTATTACAA